CTGGGACAGACTTCGAATGAGGAATCCTTGGGGGACGTCGTCGAGATGATACTGGGATTCTTTGAGGTGATGTCGTACTTTCAGCACGAACTCCCGCTGTGGAAGGATGTATGGAAGATCAAGAGGGAGTTCGAGCAGTCGATCGTACGACACCTCGCCGGGAACGTGAGCCACACGACGGGCCAGAACCGAAAGCGGAATAAGCCTTCCGCCCAACTCGGGGCGCCCACGAAAGAAGTGCTGGACATCATGAACAAGATCAAGCCCAGACATCCGCGATCCCTGATGACCGAGCCCGCCACCCAAGGATCCAAGAGAAAGGCAACGGAGGGCGAAGGCGACGGTCTTGGTCAAGCACCAGACCCGAGCCGAAGCTCTCAGCCCAACGCTGAGAAGGAAGAAAAGAAGCAGCGAGTGATTGATGGGCGGAGAGCAGCACTCGGATTCCTGGTCTCAATGGAGAAGTGCATGGGAGAGATGGGAATTTGTATGAAGTGCGCGAACCTGGCCCACGACGGCGACTGCAAGGACTATGAGGAGGCTGCTGGGAATGAGAAGGCGATGAAGAAGATCCGTGAACTACTCAGCAGTGATCCTGTTTCCTCAGATGAAGAAATGGGGGATACGGAAGAGCCGTCCTCATCAACGTCCAAGGAACGCAAGAGAGGAGGACAAGCAGGGAAAGAAACAATTGAAATGTATAGCTATACCATCAACCTGGTGGAGATGGCTGACACGGCTGAGGGAGGAGAGCTACAATGCGGTGGCGTGGACCTCACCCACAATCCGTGCGGGGACAACAGAACGTTCAAGACGACGCTAGAGCGAGGATGTGACACCATTCCATGCTACATCCCGAAGTATGGCGACGTGAGTAACGTGCATATGCCATGGGCGTATGCGTCTAGTGTTGACCCCAGGTACTTTCCCAAAGGTGCCAACCTTGAGCAGGTGGATGTGATGCAGCTTGGCAAGAGCGTCAATTTCTGCGTTGCTCCTTTTGACGGTGCTCCACTATGCAGGATTGGCGATGATCGCTCGGTATTTGCTACGAAAGATCAAGCAAACCAGCTATCTCACAACCTATGCAGGGTCCTTCGGCACAAAATCGGCAATTGCCGAGGAAGTGTTTTCAGATGCGACGAAGGTGGATGGGTCGACATTGATGCAGTCATTGACGACCGGAACAACGACATATTCCCACCTACAACCTCGAGAGCAAAACGATACATGGGCATCATGGAAGTGATCAAGTGGCAGGAGTCCGGACATAAGAAATCGAGATTTCAGGTCCTGGCATGAACCCGAATGACACGAGGGCGGCCAGGGAGGAGATGACCAAGGCTGGCCTGGATCGGGATGACATCGACAGGATGTTCAACAGATGCGATGGATGGCACAGGCCTTGGTGCATCCGAGTCACAACTGGTCACAGTGATTTTGGATTCATGAGCTCATCCGCACTGGCAAATAGGTATTCCGTGAACATGGGTGATTCTCTCGGAGGAGCATTCCATGTGACATACGTGGAAAACCTGCCAAGCATCGTACGCTGTGGGCTAGTCCCCGGCGGAATCGATGGCGGAAACAGGCTAGCACTGCACTTCGGAGCATTTGCTCCATGGGATGAGATGAACGTAGCGACGAAGGTGACGCTACGAAACGTAAGGACGGGGGATCCGATTGCGATCATCTACATTCCCAGTGCAACCCTCGCGCGGTATGGAGCTGGAGTCGCGGCAAATGGGACATTCATGGTCTTTGACGTGGTCCCGTTCTATGAGGTCAAGTCCATTTGGATTGGCAAAAGCAACGGAGGGAAACGCCTGGAGTACGGCGACATCAAGAGAGCGTACTCGAAATGTGTGGAGAAGAACGTCGCAAAGATCAACGAGAGGATGCCTGAGACCGAGGCAGGTGCCGATAATCTGCACTACATCAAAGACATGGTCGATCGTGCATGCGAACTTTATCGAGACAACAAGCTGGAGGAGTTCGATGCGCAGACCAACGAGGTCAGGGACGAGGTCAGCAAAGTCGTCATCCTGAATGACGAGACATGGGAAGGACTGAGGTGCCGGATATGTCCGTCATGTGCGACCGCAATCCCCACATGCTTCTGCTTATGCCTGGAATGTGGAGCGCAACTGATCTCCACCGGGAGGTTCTACATCCACATCAATTCCGACGACGATGAGGACAATCAAAAGCCCAATGTCTCGGGTGATGCCAGGCGCGCACAAGAAGAAGCCAACCATGATGCGGCAGCACAGGAGGATGATGACGAGGCGGAGGAAGTTCCTGAAGAAGACGACATGGACACGCAAGGATATACATCCGGCTACGTGTCTGAGGAGGAAGATGGCGGTTGGCAGTACCGCGACACTGATTTGACATCACGGGATATCATAAATTCCCAGCGGATGGCGATTTGCCTTGATGAGCCGCGCGAGGCTCAATACATGGCGGGATTCATCGCACTGCAGATGTCGAAGATGTGGGGGATGTTCGAAGGTGGTGAGGAGAGAACGTTGAATGCCGGACTCGAGGGGAGGCCGGGCTGCCCTTACCACAACGACTTCAAGAGGTACCCCAACATGACTGAGCACGATCAGGAAGGGATCCTTTTACCATCAACGGTACTGAAGATTTCTCAATCCGAGAATGTTCGGACAAGGGTCTTCCGGTCGGCTGAGGAGCGTGAAGATTACATTCGTATGATGGTGTGCAAGTGCGAGGGATTATACACATTCTACAAGCTGTGGATTGCAGCGAGAATCCTCGACGTCACCAAGGACGAAATGAAGCTCCTGGTCAAGGACCGCGTGCACCCGGTGGGTGATATTATTTACAGATGCTTTTCGCTGGCTTTCAACTGTAAGTATATCGTTCGTGAGGGATGGCCTGAACCTTGGCAAATATGGTTATTCGGTCAATGTGAGCGCCATTATTGCGGCCATCGATCCGAATAAATGCGATACACCTCTGCTGGATTGGTGCCTCCGAAAAGGGCATTGGATACCAGAGGATCACAACAAGAAGTGTGTCCGGGCGCGAGAAGCCCAAAAGAATTTGGACGAGGAGTTCCGTCGACGCACTCACCGACTGTCCATTGGGGACAGGTATGCGTAATGCAGATGTTGATTGCGGCACGATGTGGGTTAGTCCCCATCCGTTGCTTGCGTCTCATCAACATCATTGCGATGGAACGACTTTACATCATGATATGATTTCATGCGTCCAAGATGAATGGATATGTATGCGTTTACATATTCCGACGACTATGACATTCCGGATATTCATGGATGGAACTATTACTTCATGGATGATTCCTTTTCATTATATGTATTGTTCATGGTACCTGGAATGGCTAGGATTTGCATTCATTGCTCACCGATATTTCCTTGCCGGTGATATGCAGATTGCTTACGAGCAGGCGCTTCTATTGAGCTTCTATGGCCAACCCATTTCCTATGGATGACGGCTGCGCGATGCGCAAATGCGGCAGCTGGGATGTTCAATGGTTGTCAAATGACGTGACGATAGTGTATATATTACACCTGCATATGGGAATGTGCTACGATTTGCGGATGCATGTTTCACGTTTCATATTCAATCGAACCCGGCATGTTTCACAATGAATGAACGGTGTAGCGATAGCGAGTGAAAGAGTGCACGACACAGTTTCGTAGCTGAAGCCGTGGCCAGTGGAACGTTTTGTGGTGTTTGGACCGCATGATGAACGATGCGACCCAAATGGGGGATGTTAAAACCCTCCTGGCCCCGTGCCTAAATTGGGAAGCTGTTCTGAGGTCCGTGTTTGTGTTGCTTACCAGGTTCCATTGATCGCCATTTGGCTCAAGACACGATTGAGGTTCAAGATCTTATGTGTTGCTGCGTTCACACGTGATCGGCATTGAGAGCGGAAAACACTTCGCTTGCGCTGCATTTGTCAGGACCACTGTTGTAACTATTATTCCTTCTCCCTTACAACGTTTCACGGGTTCGGCTATAACGGCTTTGACCGTATACACCTTTCTACGTGGTTGGTATTACAGCTGGAGGGTTCGGTGCACAGCGTCCCACGGGACGTCACCTTGCCGTCTCTTGACACGTTTCAACCCTCAAAAATGTCCATTCTTGGAAGGGAACATATTTTCGAGATTTCGGGTATATTTCTTGTCTGTAATACCTACCCTTTTTGCTTTTCAGGAGAGTGAATAATTTTAAGATTTGTTTTTTGTATTCACTCCCCCTTTTATAAATCGCTATCTAACATTATTGTATAAACAAGAATATTATTACTAGGGGGCGTGTGTGTTCCGCTGGACCGGAGCAAGCCAAACAGAGATGAACTTGACCTTACGACGTGTTGAACACCCATGTGTTTCTTTCAGGAAAAACGATGCCACTGCAGACATACGGTCAACTGTATCCTATAGACAGAGGCACGTGCCACTAACACGGCACCAAGAGGAAGATCTTCCAGGTGCCCTCCCACATGTGCCTTCGGTTTGTAGGCTAAATTTGCAGGAGCCCGAGATAGTATAGCGTTGCTTGAACTTCCGTCTCCAGCAATTTGAACATTCACCGCCCTTTTGGGCGGTTTGCACATCATTTGCCCGCTTCATCCTCCCATTCTCCAGATACCCTTACACAGGTGTCCCCTGTCTATAGGCTAAGTTCGTGGGAGGAAGTCGACTTTTGCTTTTGAGCCGAATTTTGAACATGTACCACCGTTGTGGGTGGTTTGAAACATCGCCTGCCCAGGTTTTGTTTGTTTCTTTGGCAGCCCTGGACTGTCTCATACTGTTTCAGAGCCATAGCAATGCAGCAAAGGGGGCAGCCTACTGAGTGCCACTTGGAGGTCATTGAGGACCATGAAGGGCCATGAGCTTCCACGCAAGCCGGCCCGCAACCATGGGAGAAAGGGATCCCGGCCAGTCAGCCCCTTGGAAGACCAGGTTCTCCTTGAACTACTTGGCCTTCTGACTCGCCAGGCCTGGGCACCGCCGAACGCCGGCAAGCCGCGGAGGACGCGGCCTCTGCCCGACTCGCAGAGGTGGGCGACGCGAATCTGGACCAGCGGCCCGGCCGGAAATGCCTCAGGAGTTTCCGCCCACGTTCCCCTGAAAACACGGGAGTTCGATTCCGAGCCCCAGCCCAAAATTCTTTCTGTAAACCTGAGAGGCCTCCAAGCCTTTGCTTTGGTTTGGGATGGAACTCCGAACTCCGAACGCCCAGGCTTTGGTCATCGCTTCGAACCAGCCAGGGCTTGGTAGCGCTGAGCACGAACCACCTGCAGCTGACCGCTGCCATTACGGCCTTGCAGACTCTCAGCTGGCGTATTTCCGTTTCCAGGAAAAATGGTTTCACGTATCCCAGTTTCCGTCTGGGGTCAAAGGCCAACTTATGAACTTTGGGGATCTTTGGGGATAAGCTGAAGGCAAGACAATACAAGACTTGAATTTTGTGTTCAGGGGTTTTGGTTCTGAACTGAGGATTTCACCCTTCCGTGTTTGTTTGATGGCTTCCCCGCATGGGTTCCCTTTTCTACCATGTTCATTGGTTTGGAGTGTGTAGGTATGAAACTTCTCCACAACATGCAAGGAGCTATTTATTGCATTTGAAATGTATGTTCTGTTTAGCCTCCATGCCTCCCTAAATCCGTACCCGAAAAATGGGTTGTTTTTCCACAGGAGCCATCAACGGCAAACCTCAAATGGAAGTGTAGCCCTGAACGTGCCGCCCCCGTTGACTGGACAACCGTAGCCTGTTTCGGCTTGTTCCACTTGTTTCCGGCGGAGTAGTACAATCCTTGATTCAAGGCCAGGGCTGGCCGTTTCGGACTATCAGCAAATGCCTGGATTTATCGTGGCCGTATGCTAGCAAAGGGAACTTGATCCAAATTCCTTGCTATTTATTATCCCATTGGTAGGAGTTGAGTGTCAGGCTGGACCTGCGAGCGGTAGATGGCCATGGGGATTCCACCCACGTTCTTCCCCAAAAGAAGCTTCAGACATGTTAGTTGGAACCCCCTGTCGACACTAAGTTTTTCAGCGGTCCACCAACTGTTTGATGCTTTTAATTTGAGTTCCGAAAGCATTTGAAGGCTTTGCATCACTTGGCGACCGAGTGCTGTTTTTGGCCCTACGGCTTTGTTGTCCAAGACAATACCTTGAAAGGAGTCTATATATTGCTTGTTTTCTGCGAATTTCTTTCTGGGTGGGTTCTAAAAACAGTGCAAACAATAGTTTCCGGCATTTGGTTCCCTCATCCGGCAACTCCTTTGGCTTCCAAGTCTTTTTGCCGAACGCCCGCTGTGAGGAAAGAGGCACCCAAGGCGCTGGGGTGGGGGGGGGATACGGCGAGCCTTTATGTGGGACATGGCGCCACTATCGTTTTCCATTTATAAACAGTGCCTCAACACCAAACTCTAGTTGGATTCCAGCTATTCAGGCCCTGATGCATTGGATATGTGCCTGGGGTCAAAGGAACGCTATCGGGCAGTTGTCATGAGTTGATTGAAAGTTTCACGTCCAAATGCAAGGAAACTATGAAGGGCGACCCATAGATTTTCCTGACAAAATGCAGGGAGAGGTCACCGCATTTTTCTAAGGAGGATCATGTGCGGGAATGATTCGTAAAGGCCCCCAAACAAATTGAGGCAGACAAAAACATGGGGAGAAATTTGCAGGCAAAATGGGAATGAGGGCTGGGCCTACTTCAACAGTCTCTTATTAAGTACTGCTTAGTACTAGTTTCGAATTGTTTTAGTTTTAGTATTCCTTTGAGCTGGCCCAGTACTGTGTAAAATTTGTTTAGTATTAGTTTAGTATTCCTTTTTGCTGGCTCAGCAGTCTTTAGAATTGAGTTTGTATGCGTATAGTATTCCCCGGTACTGATACACATAATGTTTTCTCTATTTCATGCCCTTGAACATTTGTTATGATGAACATTTCCTGGGGCGTTGCAAACGAATTCTAAGCCAATACTCCACGAATACCAAACTGATACTACGTTACTATGAAATTTGACAAGTACTCAGGTAATACTAACTAGGACTAAACCAATACTAAGCCAATCCAGAGTCAGCAAAACCAACTCAGGCCCCAAAGACGAGCCAGACTCTTTATGACACCCTCTAATAAACACACGACCAACAAAACATATCAGGCGACCACCCTGTTAAAAATGGAGGGCTGGGGACTGCAGCAGTGCACTTTTAGCTACGTGTTGGTCTGCTTGGCATGCGTGTTGGTATCCAGTGTGTGCACTTCCCTATCTTATGTTGAGCTAGTTTTCTGTACTCGCGATTTTGACCTTGCTGGGCCCCCAGCACTACCATGGTCAGAAAATCCAATAAAACACTGTTTTGTAGCATTTGTTGCACTCAATTCACAATTCCGCCAGCGTCCGCTCTGAAATTAAATTAGAACTTGAATAGACATTAACTAGGACTCAAGAAGGAAATGCTTGCTTGGAAATGATCTTAAACTTAATATTTTGATCTAGTTTCCTTGTTAAACAGAAAGTTGCAACTCAGCTATACTGTAGATTCGGTAGAATTTGACAAGGAGATACTCGGAGTTTCTATTCCAAATTAGAATATAAACAATATGTGTTCTTGCCCAAGTAGAAATTACACAGGATGTCCTTTCCAATAGAGCTACCTTTGCAAGTCAGTCAATAATTAAACACAATGTGTTACAAGAAGGTTCAACTAAAATTTCCATTTTGAACTTGAATTTTAAGTAGGTCCCTGTCAATGAAAACAAATCCACTGGATCAGCCCTGCCCAAAACCAGAACCCAAATTCTCGAGAGCAACGAAACAAAGCAAAAGCAAGATACATTAACATATATATACGTATGCATTTGTATACTGAACAACATTGTCTCAAAACTGTTGGCACAGCGAGTCGCTACCTCGTGAAAACTGTTTGAGCATTGGTTTGTTTGGGTTGTTTTTTGTTGTTGTTCTATTGTTGGTTTTCTCAAGCTTCTTTGCTTTTTGGAAACACCGGAATGCATTGTATAGAGCAGCAGAAAATAAATCTCCACACATCCCTCAAAAACGAGACAGACACGCGCAACTTACACAGGTCTAAAAGGACAAGGACACGAAGAAATGCACTGCCACAGTCCCTTGTGTTGTAAAATGTGTCTGGGCGGCTGAATTAGTAAGGGATGTCGCAAATGCTTTTGATGCTTGGGCCTCAGTTGGTTTTTACTGGCTCAGGATTGGCTTTGTATTGGTTTGTGCTAATACTGTTTTAGTATTGCTTACCACTATGTAGTTAGTGTAGTGTTACTGTAGTATTGCCAGAGCTTGGGGTCATGTCACCGAGAAAAAAACACTTTTCCGTATTCCCTCCCCCGTTATCGTTTCAAGGCCGGGACTAACTTTGGGAATATTGCTATTCGCTACCCATCTACGAATCGCTACCCGACATTTCCCAGTGCCACATGGAGGGCTCCAAGAAGGGTGGTCCTGAACAGCAGAGCCGCAAGAAATGTCGGGTCGCACCACGGGGCTCTTCCCCAAAAAGTGAAAGACAAGCGCACTCCCGCGAGTTCCTGGACTTGACAACTTGGGACACTTTTCTGGTAAGCAACTAGTTTGGAATTGTGTTGCCAATGCAAGACTTGAGAATAGTAGAGACCTTTGGCCTTTGGTCATACCAAGGGTTCAGCACCAAACTACCAAAGCAAACGCTCACTGTTGGTTGTTGGCCCAGGATATTTTTTGGGAACCCTCAGTCCGGAAAGAGGGAGAAATGGGACATGCAAGCGGCCCTCCGAGTGCCTTGACAGCAAAGCGCCACTAGCAACCCTCTGGGTGCATCATTTGGGATCATTTGTGATGTACCATCCCTGGCTAACATAGAAGCTTTCAGGAGCACGTTGGAAGACTTTGTTGCATCTACACTAGCTTGGGAGCTTGGATTGTTCTTTCGGCCTTTGACATCCCGCGAGTTTTACCAACCCTATCCACTTTGTTCTCCAGCAACCAAGTCCCACCACAGCATAGTGTAATGTGTGGAAGGGAGGGGGCAGGCCTTCCCACCGCACATGCTCCCGATGTGATTGTAAGGGAAGCTAATGTATGCAGGTTGTGCGCTCCTCCCTGCGCCCCCCACGTTGTCCCAGCTAGGAGGACGGAACAAGCCAACTGAAAATGGTTCCGCAAACTCTGGGAGCAGCACATGACCTGACCTATGACTTGCTACATCATGCAGCTGTCACTTGGCTTATCGCTCCAGGTGTCCCAGAAAAACATCCTTCTCCAGAAGCGGAGCTTGCTGCAGGAAGACCTTGTTCAGGCCCGAGTCTAGTTTTGTGCGCCGGCGAAGTGGATGTCTTGAGTGGCGGATCCTTTCTCGTTCAGCCGGCGTTTGTTCCCATTTACTTGCAGTGGACACTCTGCATGGTTTCAGTTTGTTTTGTTCATTTGGCGCAGTATGCGGTACGAATCCAGCTGGCTTTCGTGGAATTCAAGATGGTTTCCGTTTGCTGATTGTTCGTTTGCCATGGAACGCAATATGCTGCCAGTTGGCTTTGCAGTTGCTTGCAAAAATCGAATTCAGTATGTAATGGGTTAATAGTATAGTATATGTTGTTTCATTTGGCATGAACACATGGCTTGGTTCATATGTCATGTTGGTGAGAGCTTTTGCTGGGTTGGAGGCGATTCAACGGAGACTAAAACAAACCACCAATCGGGAAGTTGATTTCGGTTTCACTTGCCCAGGGCCTTCCTTGGCGTACTCCTTGCGGGGCCTTCAAGCGCTACCCAGAGGTGTTTCTGACTGCTCTTTGTTGTGGATTTCAACCCAACAAGAGCCAGAGTATGGAAATCCGACTTTGGCCTCCGGGGTTGGGGCCGGGGGTTCCCAAATCAAGATTTGCCCCTCTGAAGCAACAAGAAAAGGAGGGATTCCCAGAAATGTGTTTCTGTACCAATACGGGTTCGCGAAAGTAAATGTCGCAATACCCGTCGTCCCATTTGTCCACATTCACCCACAAGGGACTGCCATTTACTTTCACCCTGGCCTGGGCTAAGCTGCAGCTTGGCTCCTTGAGCCAGTTCTGAAACGAAGGCACCAGTCATGAGAAGGCTGAGGGGGTCCAGAAGTTAAGACGTGGAATTGTTTTATGTTTGGGCCTTTTGGCCAAAAGATACCTTTGAGATTTGCCCCAACCCCCCACCCCACGCTCGTTTATTGTGGTAACATTGCTCATTTCCCCCGTCCCGATTGCCCTTTTATGGTGGTTTGCTGCCTGATCTCAAGGCCCAATGTTTACTGACTCCCGGTTTGTGGACATGATGCTTGTTGGGAAAACGACTTCAGTGTTGTTTCCGAAAGCTTCGGACATTTTTTGGCCCACCCGCACCCAGCTTACCATGCAACGATTCGAAGCCGGCGCCAGGTCTTGTTTCAAAGCCTCGGGGTCGAGAAGGACTTCTACAAGCCCTTTGTGGAGAATTCGATCGCAAGAGAAACCCGAAAGAACATGCCAGAACAGGTGCGTATATCCACCGTTTCAGTCGTTTGTGATTGGGTAGGCTCCGATACCTGGTTTTGACTGTAAGTCAGTTCCTTTTTGTTTGGTGGATTTTAAACATGGCCAACGCCGCAAGAGATCCCTTACGGGTAGCAGGGTGGCAAACATGCAGACCCAAGCATTGCACAGTACGCATCTGTATTGTGCATTCCGACCCATGCAGGAACAAGCAGAGCAGGATAGGATTGGAACACATATTGTTTGTGACAAGTGACCAGGCAAGCAGCTACAAGTGTAACAAAAAAATGTGCCTTTTTACCATACATACATAAATACATACACATATATATATATATATATATATAAACAAACAAGAAACCACACCCCTGCGCTTGCTTTTGCTTCGCATTACACCATTTCTTCTTTTCACGCCACGCACGTGATTCCGCATCAGAGAGAAAGAACCTTGCGGTACGCTCACAGGGACAACCACTACATACCTATTGCCAGGGACATCCAATAGTCAATGGATCCAGGGACCAGAACGAGATCGCAGCGACAATTGGTGCTCCCTCCTTAGGGATCGAGCAGCCCCGGTTTGGGACTCAATTGCGGTAGTGGAGCAGGTATTCAGAAGATCCAAATCTGAAACTCTCAATCTAAGAAGTGGCGATGACAGTGCGCAGTAGTCTTGCCGTCGATGAGGCCAATGGAAATATCAGTGAGGATATCGACTGGTCGGGCATATCATGATGCCGTTTCCGCGTGTGTCAAAACTGGATTTGGTGTTTGCTTTGAGGAGGCTACTCTCTAAGGATCCTGCAACAACGCTTCTCAGCATACCCCCACCTTTCGTGTTTTGGAGAATTTTCTATGGATTTGCAGCGTTGGGCAGCATTGGGCGTTTGGCACGCTCCGATCGGGCTCTAAAAATGGCTACTGCTTCATGTTGCCCCAAAGGGGGAACTGTCATGGAAAAGGGGCTGGGATTCATGAGCTGCTATGAATGGGGAAACAGCGCGTAACACGAATGAGCATGCGGGTGGGACTTTTGTGGGATGGTGTCCAAACGGTTATCCTGAGAAGTGGAGAGCTACAGTTTGCGTAGCCTGAATTTCCTAAAATTTGCTAATTTTTGGGGTATGCTAGATTTTCCTCAAGCTCGAGTTTCCAAGGAAAATCTAACATACCCCAAAAATCTGAGATTTCGGCTCCCGGGTGTAAAAGATGAGGATATGTTAGGTTTGCCTTGAAAACTCGAGGTTTTTTAAGGACAACCAAACATACCCCAAGAAATGTGACAAAGCAGCCCCGAATCGAACATTTTGCGCATACCCAAGTTTTTGTGCCCAAGCAGCCCCCCAAGATATCCCCATTGTAGAGTCCAAGCAGCATTGTTTATAGCAACACTGTCGGATAGCAGCAACCCAGATATCGAGAAAAACCAAATTTTGTGTTTGAACAGCCCGCAAGATATTTAGTGAACCGCAAAATGTTGCGCCCAAACAGAGCGAGGTACTTTCGAGCCTGCCAGCTACGCTTAAATCTGAAGCCCCTATTGGGAGATACCGCAAAGACGTAAACAGGCTATTTTGGTGCGACCAAAATCCCCAAAGGAGAATTTCGGGGTATGCTCAGAAGGGCTGTTACCCATTTCTTAGATACTCTTATTGCGATACCAACCTCTCGTCTATAAGGCCATTGTCATGCAGTGAGGGAACCGGTAGTTTCACAAGGACAATCCTGCCCTCCGATTTCAGCAAGCATCAGCCAAGACAGGGCAACTTTTTCCTACGTGTCCCTTTTGCTTCTCAATCATGTGCGTGAAGCCGATTTCAACTTGCATTGCGCCTGTATATGTTTTCCATTTGCCGGACAAACAAAATCCGACCACATCAAGAAGGTGATCTCGATGAATTGAATATGAATTCCGCATCAATCGATATATACGGTTACACATACATCTTCGGTTTGTTGTGTGTCCTGTTTTGTGTTTGCTTTGCTTCGCATTACACCATTGATCTTCCCACAACCGTTTTGGCTCAAGGCTTTTCTTCTTTTCACACCGCGCATGTGATTCCGCATCAGGGAGAAGGATGAATTGAAGGATTAATTGATCAACTTTGCATTGATTCTTGAATCATGAGCTACCTGGATGAAGGCGCTTTAAAGCGTTTTGGGGGCCCCATACTGGATTCAAGATTCCAGATCTAGAGTCCTGTAAAAAAAATGAAACATCTTGAATATAGATTCAACAGTGCTTGAAGCGCTTTAAGGCGTTTTGGGGACCTCATACTGGGCTCAAGATTCCAGATCTAGAGTCCTGGGAATCTTGAATCTTGAATATAGATTCAAAAGTGCTTGAAGCGCTTTAAGGCGTTTTGGGGGCCCAATACTGGATTCAAGATTCCAGATCTAGAGTCCTGTAAAAATCTTGAATCTTGAATATAGATTGAACAGTGCTTGAAGCGCTTTAAGGCGTTTTGGGGACCTCATACTGGATTCAAGATTCCAGATCTAGAGTCCTGGGAATCCAGATCTAGAGTCCTCTGAATCTTGAATGATAATATTCAAAAATGCTTTAAAGTGCTTTAAAGCGTTTTAGGTGGATAGAGTTAAAACCAAATGCGCTGCGCAGATGCAGGCACAGTTCGGATGTCAAAATGGAGGTGTCTGAACGGGGGTGAAAATCTTTCAAATGTAATGTAAGTACTGTCAAACTCTCTTGCGGCGAGGTGAAATATATATATGGGTCTGTGTTTTTTTACCGTGTCAGTTCTTTAGTCTTCGTGGGAGGTGGGGCTTGGGCGAGCCATACCCCCGAATCATACCCCCGAAAAAATCTAAAAAGGAGTTCAAGAACTGCTGACCTTGCAAGCCTGCTTGAAGGCCTTAGCTAAGGGTATGCAAGTAGGGCCTGTCCTGCGGGCAGCGCAAAAAAAGTCTGTCCCCAAGCAGCTGGCGTTTAGGGTAAAAGCTACAGGAGTTCGTCACGCGCCAGCTGACAGTTTGTATGGCGACGCACGCGTAATTGCATTTCAAAAGCGCGCAGGCTCGCACGAGCTGCTTGCTGTTTATCCCAAGTGCGCTTTCGCTGCTGCGTCAAGCGGTGGACTTGCGCGCTCCGCCTTGGCACGTGTACTGCCGCTCCGGCGCGGGTCGAAAAATGACCAAGAAGGCTTGAAAACTCTGTGACGGACATCTCGCCCCTGCTGCTACGTGGTTGAGAGTTTGACCACTAACCAAGCCTTTGCTGACTTTGCGCGGGTTGACACGCTCTGCTTCATAGCTTCACATGGCGCGGGCCTGTTCCAAGTGTAAGGGTGCTGCCGCTTGCAGCAGCCCCGCATGATTGCAAGCTTTCTTAGCCATGCTCGCTTTGCGTTTTTTCCGTTAGCAAACATCTTCCCCGCGATTCATACCCCCGATTCATACCCGATTCATACCCCGAGTCATACCCTTTCGCAGCCATCTGCAACCAAGAGCCTATTGCGCTCTGGGCGCAATTGTGAAGCTACAGGGACCAGATCTGCAGAAGCTAGGCAAACAAAGGGGGGGGACTGCAGAACGACGCCGCCCAGGTCCACTTGAAGCTCGACTGTGTGAATTAAAAGTGACGCGGCAACGTGAGCCTACCACACTCTACCACTGTGTCAGTTTTGCGCAGCGGTTCCCCTGCGTAGAAATCCACACTCAGGACCCCCCAAGGGCAAGCCAGAGACAGGGAAACACGGTACACCACCTGTGAGAGGCCCACTAGCCTCTGCGAGGCTGCCGTTTGAGGATGTTACGCTGTCTTGCCCTTACGCTGGTTCGTGACTGGCGCGGGTGGCGGGCCTGACTGGGCAGCGGCGCTTCCCCTTAAGCAACGATTGCTTGGGTCTGTGAGCACGCGGGTCGCTTGAACTCCAAGTGGAGGTGGCAATGACGTTCGCCGCAGGCAGTGGCTCTGCGCCTTCCACCAGCGCAGCAGCTTTCGCACACCCACTCACGCAGAGTGGCAGCTGTCTAGTTCAGGCCACTCACAAGCGCCCCAGGCTGGCTTGTAGCAACTAAGCGGTCCAAATTCTCACGGCTATCCAGTTGCCAGCTCACGGAAGCTTTGCAGTGTCCAAAGCCACAAAGCAAGAGTTCAGAGGCGCGCGAGCCATACCCCGAATCATACCCCCGAGCCATACCCCGAGCCATCCCTGCGATTCATACCCCTTATACCAACCTCCCGGCACGGCCACGTCAAAAAAACACATACCCATATATATATATATTATTATTATTACTATTATTATTATTACTATTATTACTATTATTACTATTACTACTATTATATATACTTGCTTGAAAATAGAGTTTGCATGGATGCTTCCAACACATGCATCTCCGGTAATTTGCGGGTGGTTTACTTGGAGCAACTGACCACAATATTCCGTAAGGAGTACCCTGGTTTTTGGTATTGGGCACCCAGAAATGAACAGTGTTCCCTACATTCCCCTTTTTGGCGAGTTTAAACATCAGGTTTCGGGCCAAATTTGGTTTCGCTAGAACCCGCCCTTTCGCGAAACTCCACCCCAAGTACCCACCCCCCCCCCCCAACCACTTCAGGGCACCAGGCCTTACTAAGCAGGGTTGTGCAACATGCGTTAACATGTTTTCAAACATGATCAGACAGAGGGTTGGCCCAACTGCATGAGTGACATCCCTGAAGCTTACCTCGTGGTTGGGAGCCTTTCCAAGAGCGATTTTGAATACCTCTCTTACTTTTTTGTTACAGGTGCCCTCTGACAGCCTTCGGAAACCTCGGACGCCGCTGAGGGAGCAGAATTCGGAGCTGAAGCGTCTTTGGCACCTGAAGGATAATAGCCTGCTCTGGGGCATTGAGCTGGTGAGCCTCCCTGAGCTTTTTGGCCAAACGCAAGAATCAGGGCTGATTTGACCCGTTCTGATCGGGTTTTGTGGAGCCGCAGGTTTCCCATAAACTTCAAAATCGAGTTTGGGCTGGACAAAACTGGGGCCCCAAACACAATCCGCACCAATTGATACCCATAGCCATGACTTCTAAACTGTACCAGGTTGCCCAGTGACTGAGTGGCCCCAGAAAAACAAATCGAACTACTTTTTGTAGATCGACCAATTTTGTTGGGAACCCACGAAGCCGAAAGGAACTGGCGAAGAACAACAAGTTGCTTCTGGGGCAGGGCCGCCTCCGCCTAATTTGGCACCAAAAACTGGCATTTGCCCCTAGCCCGGAGCCGCTCCGAACCACTCAAGGGCCCCTGATTGTCACGGACAGAGCTTTCAGATGTCGGAGGGGTGGGCGCTGGAAGTCCGGGGACGGGCGCAGGGGTGTTTGTGTCTAGCGGATGGGATACTTACTGGTACGACTAACGGCGCACCTAGTGTTTGCCTTTGATTAATAACCCCGGCTCACTGTGACCCTGAACAATCTGACTGCTTGATTTAGCCTAGTTTTTGAAGTGACATCTTTGGGAGTTGGGGTCCAGGGAGTCTGGCAATGCTACTTTTGAATTTGATTTGTATGACGGTCAAGTTCCAGGAAGTTGCTTGCTGCTCATTTAAGCGAGGCAATGCTACTTGTGCTTTTCGTCGTAGGATTCATTTGAAGGAAGTGTTTGTTGGCAATACTACTTTGAACGCCGCAACGCTGGGGCTCCCTTGGGAATCTGGGTCATCCCGGTTTGCTCGTCCGTTGTGGCCGAGGTTAACATGAACACCCCTTTGATCTTAGTTTTCAATCATGACCTGTTGGAAGGCAGGCCTCCCATATAGTGCAAATTGATATGCATGTCCAAGGCTCTCCCAAAAGAACTCATTGCTTTCAGTTGCGCTAAACGCTGACCTGGTGACCATCGCAAAACACATACCAAAGGTCAACCTTTGTATGAGCCTCTGTGGCTCTAGCCTGTCTCGGGCTCTCAGGTTTGAGACTTTGGGCATTGCCATCGGGCCACGCCACGTTTGCACCCCATGTGTCCACGGATTCAACCCCATTGGAAGGGCATGGTTAATGGTGCTTAAGGCACCTTGTCCCTAGATCACAATTCGCCTGCTTTGGCTCCGCTTGAAATGGATCTGAAACTGTCTGCTGACATCGGGTGCACACCACAAATCAGCACACCACATTATCATTGGGCTACTCGCCAAGTTTCCAAGCCGATTGGGACATGAATGTTGGTTGTGGCTCATCTTTCTGTTGAGGGCAACATTTTGCGGGTAGTTTTTTTTTTAGAATGTAAAGGTAAATGTAGGATTTGTGGTTCAAGCTATTGAAGCGACATCCCCGTCCCCATGTGTTTTTTAAAGAAACCGTCGAGTCAGGCTATCCTCTGTGTGCAGCCTGCACCAACAGCTGCATGTGGGGGAGTATTGGTCCAAGCTGAGCAGGGCCACCGAAGCCGCGACTGAGCAGAAGACGCCGAAATGGCGATCCCTGCCCTTTCTGGTCTCAGGAGTGCGTGCTTGGTGTTAGGAGCTCTCACTCCGCGAGTTGCTGGACTTTCAGCTTGTTGGGGATCTAGTCAAACCGTGTGGACTTTGGACGTGCTTTTGTTTGCCTACCCACTCAAGAGGTGAGTTCAGGAAGTGAATTCCGCTGATGCGCTCATGTGGGGATGAAAGGAGCTCTCGTGGTTTTTTGGCTTGTGAATCAGACATAAGCCAGGTCCCGATCCAGTTTCAGCCAGCTGTCGTTGAGTGGCGTCGCTGAGGCGCACGTGGACGCTACAGCTCTTTACCTTGCAGATCAGGTGGATAAATACCTACAAAGTGTGATTTCCTCCTTAGAGGGAACAAGTCGCTTGGCCAAGTTTAAAGAGGCTTGCTCCGAGCCCTTGAAGGACGACCCGAATCACAGTCAACAGAAGTCTAAACCTCTGGTATTGCTGAGGGTGTCGACCAGTTAGTCTAGAAGCGTGTCCAACAAGAGCGTTTAGTGAACGGACATCGTTTATCTAAACGAAGCCGAGCGAGGTTCGTGAAATTATATGTTAGAGTTAGAGGTTAGGGAGGTTAGTTACAAGAGTTAGAGGATAGAAAAGTTAGAGGTTAGAGTTTGAGGTCAGACAAGTTACCCTCCCTCCAACTAACATAGCACCTTCAAAAGTCTGCTGAGGCCGGGACACATTCCCAGACTCTCCCAATCTAAACACGAATAACATGCCTCGCCCCCTTTGCCCGAGGATGGCGTGGCTGCGACAAAGGGGTCGGATAATTTTGACACATACCCGATGCAAGCAACACATTTGGACTTCTTTCAGCCGATCAACTCGATCGGAGGTGAGGCATCGCGCCTGCTAAATAGACACTTTAATTTCCCCTCGCTTCCTTTTGGCAGAATATGCTTCAAGGGGGCTTCTGGGGACATGATAGGAGAGGCACACCAGTGCGGAAGATGAACGTCGAATCGGAACCTGGGAATTTCTGGGGTAGTAGAATTAGGGACCTTGTTTGGATTTACCCGAAAAGCAACGATGCGCAAGCCAATCAGTTTGGATGTTTAAGACATGCCCACATTGCAGGAATCACAAGTTCGCTTCGCTTCTGTTCGTTTATATGTGTGTTTCCTGTTTCCGTCTGGTTGCTTGCTGCTGGTCGTTGCCGTTTTTATTTGACATTGCATTGACTGCGTGCAACTAGTGTGGACCCGGGTGTGTCAAACATGGGGCCTCCAAAAGTGGCGCACATCAGATTCAGGCTGCTTCCCTTTGAAGCCCTGGCCCGCGTGTGGAGTCATACCACTTTCCTCGGTGAGACCCTGCAACTGACTACTCAGCGGGTTCAAAAAGTCAAAAGCACCTAGGTTGCGATGTGCACGAGCCGCCGGACGTGTGGCGTCGCGGGGTGGAGGAGCTTAGCAACTTCAGGACAGGAGCCGCTGGATATCTCCTTCAAACGTTGAAATCAATCTGATGGGTTCCATTGAAACTGCTTGTCTTGGAGCCACGGAAGAGAATTTGACGAAACTTGCCGGCTTTCTCCTTCCACATGTTTGGCTCGCCGCAATTTCCGTAAGCCGTGGGAAGCGCATGGCTTCTTCGCGGGTCAGATGAACCAACCCAGCCAACAAGTCAACTGTCCTCTTCGGGCTGAGCAAAATCTCTCGAAGCGGACATCCTTTTGCCCAGGTTGAGTGCATAATGTCCACCTCTGGTTAATAAAAGCGGGGCCCACCCCCCCCCCCCGCCCCCGGACCCTCAACTCGCCAAAATATAGCTAAACATAGCTAAACGATTGTTTCAATTGTGTAGTGTTCAGAGTGACGTTTTTTTAAAGTTGGAGCCCAAGAAGTTTATCAATACTACTTTTGATTTGCTTTCTACTACGGTCAGGCGCCAGGAAGTCCGGCAATTCTGCAAAGGAATTGGCTTGTATGGCGATCAAAGTCCAGCACGTTTGGCAATACTACGCTAAAAGGGGGAACACTACTATTGAGTTTGTTGTGAAAGGGGTTGTGCGGTGGCGCAAATGATGACTGTTGCAATTACTGACTTTGTTGGACACATTATTTGAAGTACATTTCGCTTACGAGATACCAACATAATCCTGTCAACTGTTCAGAGTCGGCGTGGACGGGGCGCAAGTCTCGTCAACAAGCATGAAGGCCCAATTACAACATTTTTGAGAATCGGATGTTGCTTGAAAAAAGCTAAGGCGCCGTTGGAAAAACATGGGAATGGTCTTGCCTAGCCAGGCCTTCATGCACCGCTGTGGGAGCCCTATAGGATGTAGCGGGGACGAGACGCTTTTACACCACGGAAACAGCGCTTTTACACCACGGGAACAGGGCAAATTCGCTTGTGATACAGCTTGAATCTTCGTCCTCCAATGGGGTTTTCAAAATGTTGTACTGTGGCCTTTATGCTTGCATCAGTCATTGACGTTCATTTGTGCAACTTCGGGGGTGTGGACTCGCAGGGCTATGTTTTTCTCTCATGAGGTGTGTGTGTGTGTGCTTTGCCTTGTTCTTGAGTATGAACTCTTCGGAGCATCTCTTGAATATTTGCGTCCTGCCGAACAAAACGCTTCAGATACCCCGCTTAGCACACTAGCTGCTTCAGGTTCTGAAGTCGAAACGGAAAAATACGAAAGACATCCTGCATGTTGAACATGATTGGACATCCTAATGCTAGCCAGAAGGCTATTAGCAATAGCCAGCTGGTTCTGAGGATATGGCTCTGAACATGAGCAAGCAGAAATCCCCACCGATGCCCACTTGAATTCATACCCATTCGCCAGGCACCGCACTGTTTGGGAGTGATAACTGGCTACCTATGAACGCAGCCATGTGCTCTGTTGGTTGGCCTCCTGTTCAGCAATAGTCTGGCTCGTTCCACTGCAATCCTTGATCTTCTGGCTTACCCCTGGCTTACGTCAGGGGTCCCCTTAACAGTCATTTCCCGTAGCTCACTTGCCCAAAGCCAGTCATGGCCCAAAAAGGTTAGCCTTTTACTGCTTCTGGAGTCCTTGAGGCGGATTATGCAATAGGATTGGGCGTCAATCTTGAAAAGTACACCAAATTTGGCGCGAGCATTTTCCTTTGATCTCTTTTTGCCAGGGGGTCTCTGGCGGAACCCTGGCTGCACATTTCTGCCCAGTATTGGCTATTGTATTTGGGACTAGGAGCCATTGAGGACTACGGTATAGGAAGGTCACCGAGCTCACCCATGATGTAGGTCCTGTACTCGAGGGTCCCTTGTTTCGGGTGTTGAATTATTGTGGATTGATAATGTGATCATTGCACCTCACCCAAGGTCCGTCGGTCAATGAATCGCAACCCACCTACTTGGGTTGCGGCTCGGCCTTCAACGCGTCAATTTTTGACACGCGGTTCTTCCCCAACGTGCACCCACATCCGGGTGTATGAACCCAGCTTCAACTCACAGCCAATTGAATTCTATCAAAACCAAGGGTTTGGGCGAACTTCCCGTCTGTTTCTTATCTCCGCTTTGCCCACAGGAGGTATACGCAGAAGTCGGCCTTCGTACTGCTGGAGTTGGTTTGGGCCTTTACCAGTGGCTCACTTGCAACAGCTGGATCTGTGCTTGGCTTGTGAGACATCAGCCCTCAAACACACCAGCCCCCAAAACAGATCTTGACTGAAATAGACAGTTTGCCGCGTCTTTTGGGAAGTGAGGAGGGCTGCAGGTGTCATTTGGCGAGTTTTCACCAGAGTACTCTCTAAATGAAGACTTGAACAAATGTTCCACCCCAAGAGCAAAATCAACTTGGAGTAGCCCTCAGTCCGACGGGTCCGACAAAGCAATGTTGAGAACCTTGCCCAGTTTGGCTTAGGTGGTGATGACCCGGATGTCATCAAGGGCTTTGAGCTGTCGCTCTCGAGCCATGGCCTGAAATTTCTTTTCTGGGTTCAAATTCCACCTTCCTCAGTCAGGATTAGCCTGCTAAATAGCCCAAACAATGTTAGCTTTCCCAGACCGGAGACATACAATTTGATAAGCCGTTGACCCGCCCCCCCCGTACCCCCGGCAACCCCCTTTCCCCCCATTACCTTTTGGGCTGGGGGATAGACCTTTTGGGGTGGGGGATAGTCTGACCTTTTAGGAGTGCAAACGCACAAGGACCACGGGCCAACTAGCTCTGTGTGCGCCTGTTCAATGGCCTTAAATCCACAAGCAGCAAACCATACGTGCCAAAGGGCCTAATACAAGCCAGGCCGAACTAGCAACTTGCCGCTCACGCCCCCCCCCCCTCAAGCAGGGGTTTCTCGCTGTTGACGCATTCTCTCCGAGCATGGAAAACAAATGCATGCGAGAAAGGAAATCATGCATGGGCGTGAGGTGAGATGAGAAACCGCGACAAGGAGCAACCTTATATTCCCTTCCCCCTAATGCAAAACGTCCCCCCCTAATACCAAGCGGGTCCCCCCGGAAAAACAAACCGGTTTTAGCATTAGGGGTCCGCCTGTTCCCGGAGCTCCGGCTCGAAAGTCGCAACTTTGTAGTACAACCGTAGCAAAGACTACGCGTTGCAGACCCTAATGCTAAAACCCTCCAGCACAAGGCGAGGAATCCTATTTGTTTCGTTTCTTAAGGTGCAAAAAGGGTCCCCTAATAGGGCTGGATTTGGGCACGGGCGGGCAAATACCTACTTTAGAATTGGTTTAGCATTGGCTATTCTAAAAGTAATATTCCCGGATTTGGGGTTTTCAAAATTCGGTTTTAGTATTAGGGGACTGTTTAGCATTAGGAAGAAGCGATTACGGGGTTTAGTGCCTCCGAATAGGACCTCATTAGACAGATAGACGCATGGCTAGATGGACGAGTAGACAGAACGAAAGACAGATCGATAGATAGATGCATAGATTGATTGCTAGCTAGACAGGCAGACAGATTGGATAAGCTAGGTGGGTGTGTAGATAGACCACGGACAAACAGGTATATGGGCCAGACACAAAAACAATCATGGAAAGAAATAGACGGTTAGACAAAGAGAGTCTGAGAGAGAGAGAGAGAATAGAAATATAGAGAGAGAACAATAAGAGACAACAAGGAGAGGAAGAAGACGGGGAGGAGGAAGAGAAAGAGACAGGAAGAAGAGCCAGGAAGATACATAAGGACTGAAAGAACAGAGAGCGCGAGAGAGAGAGAGAGATAAAGAAAGAGAAGCAGAAACATAACTAGTAAGAAAGCACAAGAGAAAGATAAAGAAGATGAAGGTAAAGAAGATCAGGAGAAATAATAACACATAACGGCGAGAAAGAAGAAGAACAAGAGAAAGAGAAAGAGAGACAAATGCGAGATGCAAAGAAAATAGTCAAATCCAAAGATAAGCTGAAAGAGGCAGAAAAGAAGATAGCCATATATATATATATACATATTGTAGCTGGCACCCCCCCCCCCCCAGTTTTGCCAGCGCTACAGGCCATAACTAGCGGAGCCATGCCAGGGTTGTAGCCCTGCTGATGATGCTTAGGTCCGGATCGTCGCTGTTAGTCACTAAGTCATCAGTAGGCTAAACCCAACAAATCAAACGGGTGAGCAGGAACCACGCCACTTCTTGCCCACGTGGAAGGATCGGGGGCGTCCTATTGAGACGAAAGGCAGCCAGTTCCTACTCTGTTGGACTTTTGGCACCGCACGGCTCTCACCGCAAGCTGACTGAGGGCTAACACGACTCAAAGTGTTTCAGGGCGCGCTCCCCGGCCCCCGAAAAAATAGAGGTGAACTTTCCCGAAGGGAAACGTAAGAGGAGTGTGGTTGCAGGACAAATATGGGCAGTTCTCAAAAATGGGTTCCAGCTTGCCCCAAAGGACTACTCCCCCGACTCCCCACCCAGGAACACGGTGCGCGAAAGCACCCGCTCGCTGCAACAATGCCTCAAGGGCTCGCCGCAGGCAGATGGGGCCGTTGTCAGTCGCCGGCCAAGGGGCGAAGGGCCCCACGCACACTCTCCCATCATCATACAGAAAAGGTTTGATAGGCGATGCGGCCCTTGGGGAGGCGATTTTTGGCTGGTATCCCCGCAACTGCATACTCCAGAGCTCGAGACTTGTCCGGCTTGTGGGGGAGGGACTTCAGGGTCTTGTGCCGTTTGCGCAGGAGATGATTCCGCCCCCGCCCACTCAAGAGCTAGTGAATTCCTTGACGCTGCTGCTGACGCTCGGCGTGCGGAGGGCTTCGCCTCAGAAGAAGCCATTGTCTGAATACAACGGCTGAAAAATCATAAGCGGGTTGTGGGGTACTGTAAAGCTGCACCTAGTCATGATTACAGGAGTATACGATTAGTGATTCTTGAGATCAAACAAACTCAGAAAGAATCAAAAAAAACCACATATTAAACATCAACAAAAACAAAAAGAAGGAAGGGAGGGCAGGGCAGGGCAGGGCAGGGCAGGGCAGGGCAGGGCAGGGCAGGGCAGGGCAGGGCAGGGCAGGGCAGGGCAGGGCAGGGCAGGGCAGGGCAGGGCAGGGCAGGGCAGGGCAGGGCAGGGCAGGGCAGGGCAGGGCAGGCAGGCAGGAAGGACTGCCTGATGCAGCTGTTTGTGCTTGACCGATGTCTAAAAATCAAGCCCGAAAACCGTTCAAACCCACAAGCAACTTAAAACCAACCCGCAGCACACTTTTAATTAATACCTCACCCAATCTCATTCTACTTTTGAGAAAAGGACGCCCTTGTGGTAAGTGACAAGGTTAGTTGATTGGGGTCAAGCCGCGGAAGTGAGCCTTTGATTTCAATCAGCTGGAGTTGGAGGAGAGAAATTGTTCGAGCGCGATTTGAACTCGCTTGTTTTCAAGTTCTAGTTACCTTACCAAGGCAAGGGGTTGTGAAGCTGTTGTTCTTGGGATCCTTGATTCCAGATGGGCTAGTCACTAAGGTTCACCCGACATCTTGTGGGCTGTCCTGTTTTAGTGCTGGGAGTTGTCGAACGTGAGAGCTCACACCCAGCTTGTCAACCCAACAAGTGGATTTACAAGCGGCCACTCTTCCCCTACCTTCCTCTCTTTGGTTTGCCCAAGCTAGGAGGGTGCAGAGGTTGCTTAGGCGTGGTCTGAATGAGGCGGAATTTATATAAAGCACAGCTTTCCATAGGGTTGCCCCTTTTCCTGTCTTCTGTGGGGTTGGATCCCGAGGCATGAGTGGGAGGCCCTGGAGGAGATGTTGAGCCTGAAGGTCCAGTATCAGGCCGGCTGATGAGCATGCAACCCCGTTTGTCAGGGGGGGGTTCCCCGAAAAGGGCCAAACGCAGGCTTCCCGAAAGTTATGGTCGTTTGGATTCCAAGTTGATCTCCAGGGTTTCCATGTGAAACTGCAAGGTCGTTCAGCATGTCGCTCCTTGTTGGGTGCTAAACCTATCTAAACATCACCGTTTGTTCCGGTTTACAGTGATACAGCGAGCTTTGGATGCTGTTGAAAGGGAAGATATTAAACGAATGCACCTCCCAGAAATGAGGATGCTCTAGCAATCTGAGGGACCCTAGCAGAGCAATGGCCCAAAATCAGTTTTTGACACTGCAACAGCACGGGGATGTTTCCCAAAGGAGGGACGCTTCCTCAGAATCAATCAAATAAGCGCAACCGATTGGGTGCCCATTGAATTTACACTTTGGTGGACGGAGCCAACATACGTGCCAGGGTTTGAAGCCAAACCCAGGGTTCTGAAGGACGCAGTTGAGCCCTTCGACTCACTTGTGAGCTGATCAGCCAACCTTCTAAGCTTTTGTTTCCTGTTGGCCATTTGTCTTGGCTGCCATGTCCAGGTCCTTTGGACAGAATGAGGAAAGGCAGTGCTTGTTCTCATCTCAGACCTACCGCAGGACTTCTCAGTGGACAAGATCGCGGATTTCTTGACGAAAATCTCCACAGATATTGAGCACCTGGAGAACGAGATCGGGGAAGGCGAGCTATCAGCCCATTCCAATGGGTCTGAATTCCTTGCCAGACTCAACTAACATTGTTGTTCTTGGGTTGTGCTTTTGTTTTGTTTGTTTTCTTCGGTTTGGTTTCAAGTCAGAGGAAGCGAACTAAATTCTCTTGGCACGGGCAGATGCCTTACGCCAATATGCAGATAGCTTGGCACTCGGAAGGCGAGGGGCCAAGTGCCTGGAGCCTACGAACAGTGACACTGCGAAAGGCGACATGACGCCCCAGCCGTTGACTCTGTTAAGTGCTGAACTAACGGGCCTTTTTCAAATCGTGGGGAAGATTGAAGGAAAGGCAATCGCACCACCCGCAATTTCCTCCGAACATATTTTACGTTGGGGTCGACAACGTGGACCTAGGTCAGACACTGTTATAATTGGAGTACCCCAGATGTGGGCCAGACGCCTCAACAGGACAGCCTGATCTTCTCTAATGCATGTCTACGAATACCGTTGATAATAAGGACAACACTCCCAAAAGCAAATAGTTTGAGGGCACTTCATGGATGTTGGCAAAGTCAGGGACCCCTTTGGATGGTAAGGAGAAGCCTCCAGGTTTGGTTGCACATCAGGTTACTTGGTATCTGTTGACCTCGACAACCTGAAGCAGCCCTACATGGCCACACGCCAGGTGACGACTCTGGTCTCAAAGTTGGAGTTCCAAAACGAAAAACCTGTGCTCATCTCAGAACTAGAGGGCCCGAAACTGTTGGGTTTCCTTTGCTTTTGCAATCAAAAGCAAGGTTCTGCAATTCATGTTCATTTCTGTTGAAAGGGATTTCCTTTCAAATCAACCGCCAGGTGCTCTTGATTTCCCATTCACACTGGACGTGAATGTTACTGGGGGCACGCATCCCAACTGGTGGGTGTACATAAGCCCACAGAGTCGCCTTGAAGGTTTCTTTGGGGCTTGAAAGGGGGAGGATTTCATCACACCCGGCACCTACAATGTCCTGGTTTCCTCGAAAGGCCTACGAGACTATGTTGTTTTTGCGCCGGCCAAAAAACCCGCCCTGTTGTGCAGTAGCTACTCCAAGCACCCGAGAAACCAGCGCCTTGTTTCTCACCGCGAAATCTGTGTACAAATTGAGTGGCTATTGTGCTGTGCCACCTGAGTTTGCTTAAAGCAGATTGGTGAATTAGTGAATTCGTGCAGATGGTCCTCACGGGCAAAGTCGGGTTTGGAACAGCGTCTACCCCACAAAAATGACGAATCCATGAACACACATGTTCCCTTTGTCTTGTGAGTACACAGGATATTTTACGTGCAGGCTTTGCTGATTTGGGGACGGCAATGCGTCATATAATTCTACTAGTACATGATTTAAGGAATCTCTTGCATGATTCCTTGCGTGATGATGGGTAATTGCGCTTTGTCCCAGAATTTGGTCATGGCTCCAGTGAGCAGTGGGCACACTGTACAGTGGACAGCTTTGCGTGTTGACCCCCCTCCGCAAAATACAACAGAGGACCCCCAATTTTCGAAGGGTTTCGGGGCCCGCTGTGGGTCTTTTGGGCTCAAAAGGATCCGCTCAGGTTCTTGTATGAGCTTGCGGTGCAAGCCATGTGGCTGAGCTTGGGGGATACGGCGGTCAATCGAACGGACAGGTGCGGCGGATCGGAAGTTTTGCGCGCAAGAACGTGTTCAGGGGTCCACCTTACTCCCTGAGTTTTTGGAGTTTAGGCACTTTGTAGGAACACAATGTTAGGTGTAAACAACTAGCTTGCGCTTGTTTCATTGTTAATCTACTCAGGATGTGAGCCAAATTTTAATCCAAAGGCTGCCGTGTTTTGTTGGGAAAGCTGAGAGGTGAAGAGACCCGTCGTAAATCAGACTGGCTATAATTGTCTGCAATTCTGACTGAGTTGGTGGGCCATATGCCAGAGCTCCATTTCAAGGCCGTCTTGGTTGCCATGCAACTTACCGCAGCTGTAAGGGCGTTTGGTTGAGTTTAGTTTCACATGGACATGACGTCCCCGCAGGGTACCCTTGGGATCAAGCAACAAAAGTGTGCTGCCAAATTTGGTAGCGGAGCCCTGATTGTTCAGGGCACACCATTGCGCCCGCGCTGACTGAGTGGCTCAGTCCACTCCCTCGCCCTGACCGCGAGGTCCCTGGCACCACGGCTTTGATCTACCTGATCATCGCCCTGGTGGCTTCACTGCAGGTGAGCGGATTGTCTGCTCATTGGCAGCCTGGACAAGAAGTCTGGGACGGTTTTGACATCCCTGCGGAGGACAAGGAGGCCGAGCCCTTCGGCCTGATCCAGGTTGAGCCCTACGGCAAGACCTCGAAGTTTGTGCACGCTCTTGTGGAGCTTCTGGGAACGACCGCGGACAAGTCCTACGGTAAGGTCACTGGGCGGACATCTTGGTTGGCCTCTTCGCCTTGCTTCTTTGTTGCCGTCATGGCTCAGGCCAACACTGGTGGCATTCCAATCACGGAGTGTCGGAGAGATGTGCCACCTGGATGGAGTCCAGGACTTCCGGACTACCCGCTGCGCTTGTTCTTTGAGAAGTTGAAGCTCTGGTACCGGGTCTACGATGGCCCTGATGAGAGCGTGGGTCCTTTGGTTGCTGGGCGCCTAGGAGGCCGAGCGCAGAAGATAGCGCTGTCACTTCGGCTTCCCAGGCCGGACGGCCAAGTGAACGTTGGAGATGCTGCTTTGGTCCGCTTCTCGGTGGACGAGGTTCGGGATCCGAACAACCCTCAGGTGATCCTGCAGCACCATGTGCCGAGCAGCATGCAGGCCTTGGCCGTCGCCCTCAGAGAAGCTTTTGGTCAATCAGATCAGGAGATGACCACCGTGAGCCTGGAGCAGTTCTTCGAGCTAAAGCGTGGACGTTTGAGCCTTCAGGAGAGATGTGGCGAAGACGTTCCTCTTCTTCCGCAACAGCGGCATGCCCAACAAGCTCATCGAAGACATCAAGCTTCAGATTCACGGAGATCTGGCGAGATTTGCTGAGGCCAGGACTCTCTCCCTACGCCTCAGAAGTCGAGGTGACTCTGCGCAGAACGAGACCTACTACGAGGAGGAAGAGAACGACCCCCTTCGACATGGTCCTCGGAATGGATTCCATCATGCTACGAGGACTGGCAAGAAGACCCCTGGAGCTACTACGGAGAACAAGAATGGATGAGTTGGGAATGCGACTGGCCCGACAGCTACACCTACCCGGCAGAAGATGAGACCAATTGGCCGTTTGTGCGAAATGCGGGCCAGCATCCTGACAGGATGGTTCGAGAACAAGGATGGCCTCCTCACCTTGTGGAATGACAAAGTGGAGCCATCCGAGATGGAGCTCTTTCGCTTGTTGATGACCGATTCCGGGCATTTTCTTCTCCCTCTAGATGAGCAACCTCATCAAGATCTTCCTCGAGAAGAAGTGCGGAACTACTTGACGAAGGTCTCGGAGGTATCTCAATCCCGATGGAGCGATCACAGCTATGTCTTCTGGCAGAAGAGGCTGGATGCGGCGAACCCGGAGCAGAAGCGGAGCTCAGCTGATACACACCACACTCAACAGGAAAGCGAACAGCCACTGGTGGCAGCTGAGAACTGTGAAGATGATCCTCATGCACGACTACCATCACACATCTCGAATGCTCCTACAGGAACCGAAAAGATCTACCATGCTGAAGAAGAGCAGGAGGACTACTGGGAGATTCGTTTCCATGAAGGGCAAGCTATGGTGACCAGAGTTCATGTTCGTGAGCGACGAGTTCTGTTCAGACCTGAAGACGCTCCTGACATGCCCCCAGGCACGGATCCGAACTCCCTGGATGAGGTTCGCGTGACGGAGCTGATTCCGACTGACGGGGGGCTACGCCAGCCAGCGAAATCATAGACAGATGGCGCATCGATCATCAGACAACCTATTCGTGGAAGGGTACCACCCAGTTCAAGGTGCGCTCAGAGGCTCCAGTTCCAGATTCAGAACCCTCCAAAAGTCATCCCTGTTGTCATCAGCATGGCGATCAGGACAACGGTGGTGTCAACTTCTCTAAGAAGAAGAACTCTCAGGTCTACCTCACCAGAGACAGTTGTCTCCCTCTGTATGAAGGAGATGTCATCCCGGATCGCATCACCGAGCATGACAAGAAGGCGCTGGAGAAGGACTACAAAGCGATGCCTGAAGAGTTCTACACTCGGACCAACAGACGTGCGGTGAGACCAGAGCAGTTTCCCCAATGGTTCAATGACCAGAAGAGCAGAAAGAACAAGGTGAGATGGAACTGCTGGGAACTATGCTCTGGATCCGGACGGTTCAGTCTGGTATGCGCTCTAGCAGGGCTGATGGTTGGCTTTCCCATCGACTTCCGGTACGGCTGGGACATTGGACTTCCTCAACATCAAGAGATGCTGTGGCAGGCCTACGAGCACTTCGCACCCGATGTGATCCTCGTGTCTCCAAGGTGCAAGTACTACAGTGTCTCATCTTCGAGGAGAGATCGACAACAGCTACTACAAGATCGCGCCAAGGAACAACCAGCCCTACGTTTCCGAGGCTACGTGATGGAACAGCCTTGGAGCTCTGCAATGTGGAGAGAAAGCCTCATGATTCACAACCAACACCTTCCAGGATATCACACCGCAAAGCGCACCGATCAGTGTGCCTTTGGCGCAGTTGATGAGCATCGACAACCGGTTCTGAAGTCAACGGGCCTGGAGGCCAACTTCAGACTTCGCCAATGCATTCGCCGATGCCATGGACATCGAGGAGTACCTCACACACCTCTTCAAGGACAGGTCAACGGAATAAACCGTACTGCTATGGCAGCAGTCTATCCCATGCGCTTCTGCAAGGCAATCATGGAGGACATCCTCTACTACCTGGAACCTCGGGGTGCTCTTCGCCGCAAGCATCTGGACACCTGGACCCACTACCAGGTACTCTACACCTGCGAGAGATGCCGTTTTGGAAGAGCTGCGATGGCACACATGGAACACAACTTTCTGCCTGGAGAATGTCGATATGGGAAATGGCCTGAAGGCTTGAATCCACGAGCCAAGGCCAAAGGAGCATCGGCGCCTCTGATCCTGCAGCTGACTTCAAGTGGCAGGCAAGAAATCATCAAGGTCCAGACAAGATCAAGGTGATCCACCATGAGAGCTTTGACTTTGGCGCAGAAGAGATGGTGTATATTGAGTACCTGCTCAGCCGGATAATCGAGGAAAGCGTCACCATCTTCGACGAGGTGACCACGGGTGACTTCAGCTACTGGATCGATGACCCGGTGGTGCTGTGCAACGTTCGAATGTGCTTCAAGAAGGTCTTCCGTACTCACGGAGTCAACGTTGCCCTACATCCATGGTGTAAAGTCTTTCCAGAACCTCAACTCCCTGCAGAACAAGCCCCCCTTCGACTGATCATCCGGGGCGACTTCAAGTCCTGGAGGATTGACGCTTTGGAAGATCTGCGGGAACTCTCCCCAGCGCAACAACGACAAGAAATCGATGAACAGGACTGGATGATCACTCTCTTCGGCAACCACACTGATGCTTCTCCACCTCAAGAAGCCTTACCAGCACAACCAGTCAAGGAAGATACAGCAGATCAACCTCAAGATCCACCTTACGAAGGAGTAGACTTGAAGGCGGCCAATCTTCGCACTCTGAAGCCGCTCTACAGCATCAAAAGAGTTCTCCAACGGCTTCCACAGCTCGCCAGAGAAGATCCAGTGACAGCACAACGTCTTCTACTTGGTTTACATGAGAAGCTGTGGCATGCAACGGCTTCGGACTTTGCCAACCTCCTCCTTCGGGCAGGAATGCCATCAGAGGTGATCGAGCTCAGCCCAAAAGCTGTATCCAATTGTGCGGTTTGCTGGAAATTTGCGAGGCTGCCATCTAGGTCGAAGACAAAGGCAAGTCTTGCAGCTCACTTCGGAGATGAAGTGAAAATGGACATGTAGTTCCTCTGGGGAAGATCTTTGTCCTGATGGTCGACACGGCGACCCGGCTCAAGGTCCTTCCAGGTCGAATCCCCGGAAGCCACGGAATTGTTCCAAGGAATCCTTCGCCATTGGATCAGGTTCTTCGGCCCTATGCGCGTGCTGACATTGGACCAGGAGGCATCTCTGATGTCACCATTCTCGGCGCAAGAGTTTGAACGGTTGAACATCTCCCAGCCCGAAAGGGACTACATCCGGGGAAGCTGGCAAACAACATCGGCCTCGTCGAACGCCACGTTGGATTGCTGAAACTCACCCTCCTCAAGATGAAGAGTGAGTGTGAACGTCAAGGAATCTCGGTGGAAGAAGAAGATCTGGTAGCCGAAGGTGCCATGTCCCACAACATCAGCCTCACCTACGGTGGCTACACTCCCAGCATGGCTGTCTTCGGCGTCCTTCCGAGATCGCTCTACGAGTTCGAGACGGATCAGATTACAGCAGTCCAAGGGGCAGCAGACAAGGACCTGACGGTGTTTGAGCGGGCCATTCGACTGCGACAGATTGCCCTTGCAGCGGTTCAACAGGCAGTGAGTGAAGACAGGCTCGCCAGGGCTTCTCACACGAAGGCAAAGATTGTGGACACCACCGACTTGGTGCCCGGCGCGACAGAAGTGGAGATCTATCGCGATGCCAGCTGGAGAGGTCCTGCAAC